GGTCTGGCAGTTCTGTAATGATGAACAACCAATCCCCCAATCAGTTGTAAGGGGATTAGGGTGGATACAACACTCGGGTCCCAGCCCTGATCCCATGTAATGGGAGTTCCCCTGGGCTGTAGCCTGCATCACCTTTTATCTTCTAAGAGATCAAAGGAGAGAGAATCAAGCCCAGAGGAAAGAATGTCAGTGCCACTGAGAAGGAAGAGCCAGGATCGAGGGCCCTGTGCTGAGAACCTCCTAGACCCAGGGGAAGACTGATGCTAGGACAGACAGAGATCTCCAACGGATGCCAGTGCCACAGACGGTGAAAGGAGACAAAGACTTTCTCCCAGAGCTGACAGAAGGAAAAAGACTGCCCTTAGAACTGGCACCCTGAATTCGGGCTTCTAGCCTCCTAATATGAATGGATGCCTTGAATTACGGTGTTGACAAAGAACATTAAATACACCATTTAATGTTATAAGTAATGACTGCCAGAAGACCAAACAGATCTGTCTTGGATGAAGGGTAGCCAGAATGCTCCTTAGAAGCAAGGTGGTGAGACTTAGGCTCAGGTACTTTGGACATGTTATCAGGAGGAAGCGGTCCCTGGAGAAGGATGCCTGGTGTAAAGCAGAGGGTCAGCAAAAGAAAAGGTGACTCTCAGTGAGATGTGTTGACACAGTGGCCGCAACAATGAGCTCAAACATCCCAGTGATTGTGAGGACAGCACAGTACCAGGTTTTTGTTCTGTTCTGTTGTACGTGGGTCGCTACGAATTGGAACCAACATGATGGCACCTAAGCTGGCAACAAGAAGCCTCCTAAGCTGTGGCAGAACAATCTTGTTTGTTAAAGCCACCCCCGTGTGGTACTTCTGTTACAGAAACAATAGACAACTAAGCCATGCCTCATTCCCTCCTTCCTGCCTTGTCCTAGGCAGCCATTGATCTACTTCCTCCTGTCTCTAGGGACTTGCCTACTCTGGACATTCCATATGAATGGAATCATTCATTGTGGTGGTTTGTGAGTGACTTCTTCACTCAGCATAATACTTTTGAGGTTCATCCATGTGTCATTCCTTCATTTATTTTTATTGCTGAATGATATTCCGTTGTATGGCATACCACATTGTTTTTCTATTCATCAGTTGATGGACAGTGGGGATTCTTTTGACTATCATATGTTATCTGTCACGATAGCTGTGTCTGTTGAGTACCTACCATGGGCCAAGAACTTGACCTATTTCTAATCCTGGCAACAGCTTGGGCGATGTCTATCGCTCCTACTGCACCAACAGAGAAACTGAGATACAGAGGGTAAGTAGCTCATCTGAGATCACTCACTGGCAAGTGACACAGCTGAGATGAAAAAAGTGTTGTCTGTGCTCTTCCCAAAGGAGCGCTGGTGGCACAATTGTTAAGCACTTGGCTGCTAATTGAAAGGCCAACAGTTCAAATCCCACCCCCACCCCCTAAGCAGCTCTGCAAGACCTGGCAATCTGCTTCCGTAAAGATAACACCCTATGGGGCAGTTCTACTGTGTTGCATGGGGTCACTAGGAGTCAACATCCACTTGACAGTACCGAACAACAACAGTGCTGTCCCACTGCACCACGAGGCCTCCTCTGTGTGCTCTGTTCTCTCTGTCCAGCTCTGAGGCCAGACAGCAAGAAACCCACCATTCACTCAGCACTCAACCACCTGAACAAGGTGGATGGTAGCACACCTTAGTCACCGGGCCAGGTGGGACCCAGACCCCATCCTTTTGGAGTTCCCCATCCAGATGAGGAAAGGTCTTAATGTGAGGCAGGTGCCAGTCAACAAGGAGGGTGTGACCAAGTGTTAGGGACATGGAGCTGCTGGAGAACTCAGGTTTCCAGAGCAGATGGCATTTTGAGCAGGGCCCCAGAGGACCAGGTGGATTTTCCAGGCAAGGACAGGTGAGCCACCCACCAAGGGACTCAGGGTGCCCACAGACCCAGAGGCCAGGAACCCAGGGGGTGTTTGGTCTACAGGGATGGGTCCTATTCCCCTGGGGAGTGGAGAGGTGAAGAGGGCTGGGGAGAAGTAGAGACAACTCTACTGAAGGCCTTGAACGTCAGCCTGGAGTCTGAGCTCTTTCTGTGAGCAGCAGGGAGCCACTGAGTCTTTGAGCAGAGTTAGAAGATCAAAGAGTCCTGGGTCCTGCAACTGGTTAACGTGCTTGGCTGCTAACCAAGAGGCTAGGTGCTCTGAGTCCACCCAGAGGTGCATGGGAACAAAGGGCTGGGGACGTGCTCCTGAGGAATCAGCCGATGAACACCCTACAGAGTTCTACTGTGACCAGCACTGGGTTTCCATGAGTCACTTGACTCCATTGCAAGTGGAAAACACAATCAGAGCCATCTATTTGAATCCTGGCGTCCATCTTCAGATGCTGGCTCCTAGGTTCACAGAGGCTCCGCCTTGGCAGTCCACTTAGCAGTCCACAGGACAAAGAGCTGCACTTTGGATCCCCTCGTATCCTCAGAACCAAGCCAGGGCCTGGGGTAGGGTCAGCGTTCATCATCTGTTGAATGACTGAATGGATGAATGAATGAACTGCCTGTCAACTCCCTCCTTCCACCCCCTGTCCCCTAGTCCCTTTTCTGGCTCGGTGGAATAAAACGCCTGGCATGTTCAATTCTCCCATCTTGCTCACCTACCTTCTCTCCCCCTCCCGGCCCCTCCCTTTCTTCCTTGCTCTCCTCCCCCCTGGAGCCAACACCCAGAGTGCTCCTGTGTGGGAACTGCAGCTGCCATTCCTATACACTCTCACAGCCGCCCTCAGGGATGGGAACGATGAACCTCGCTTTGCAAGTGAAGAACTGTGACTGAGGGTGGCCAAAGGACTTGCCAGCTGTTAGGTGGGGGAGCTGAGAGTTGTACTCATTTCCATCCAGAGCTGCTAGCTAAGCATGTAGAGTGTGGGGGAGGGGAAGGGAGGGCTGTTGAGGGTGAAGGCTGTGGGAAGGGAAAGAGGACAAAGGAAGGGACCCCTTGGGGAGGGGCACCTTGAGACCAGGACCCAAGATGGGGGCGGGGGGGAGGCCTGCTGCTGCCCACACTAGGACGCTGAAGCCAGAGTCCCTGCCCCCTGCTGCTTCACACCCCAGGGTGGAGCCTACACACGCATCCACACCCCAGGCCCAAAGCCAAGAGGCCGAAGCAGTAGTTGCCTGAAGTCAGAGAGGCTTTATTTTTCTATAAAATCATTACCCAAAGGGAACCTTAGCCTATACAACCCTGAGACCAAATGTTCAGCCAAACAAGAGACAGGCCTATGAGCTGAACAACTACGCCCGGGAGATGCACTGCTTAGCACAATCAACCACAGCAGATCAGAAGGGCAGCATTTGCACAGGGAGAAAGGTAGGGAGGCAGGATGCATAGGCAAGAAGGACACAGGGAAAGGGTGACCACAGGGAGGAAGTGGGAGGAGAGCTGTTACACTGCTGGGAAAGTAACCAGTGTCACCAAACAAAATGTGTATGAACTCTTGAATGTAATACCAATCTGCTTTGTGCAACTGCACCCAAATCACAACAAAAAGTTTGAAAAAAGAAAGAAATCATTCCCCAGTGGGAAAGAAAAAACTTAAAATGCCCAAAGTAAATAGCCATCCCCTTGAACAAAACATCCCAAAGAGGCCTCATCAGAAATCCTTTGGTCAAATAGGTCATCTGGTTCCCAAGGCCCTTTGGGTTTTATGCCATGGTTCTTAAAACCTGCTAGAACCTTTGCTTCAGAAAGTACCTCCAGCTCCCAAAGTCTCATCTTACAAATGGGAAAACTGATGCCCAGATTGGAGAAAAGTCAGCCAAGGTCATCCAACATGAGGTGCAGGCATCCCATCTGGTCGTCGTTCCCCTGAAGTTCAACGCCAGTTCTCTAACCAAGGTAATGCCTTTGAGGGAGGGCTGGGCAGCTGTTGGTGCCACCTCTAAATGCTGGGTGGTACAGCTGAGGCCCACCACCTAACCATCTGCTTGTCCAAGGGTGGTAGCTTTCGTGTGGCTGTGATGCTGACAGCTCTGCCACCCGTACTTCAAATACCAGCAGGGTCAGCCGTGGGGGACAGGGTTCATGGGAGAATCCAGACTAAGATAGACTAAGAAGGAGGGCCTCACAATCTACTCCCAAAAATTAGCCGGTGAAAGTCCTATGGACCACAACACAATACTGTCTAACCATCTTGCTTTCCATATGGCATTGGGACAGATCAGTCGCTGAAGGACATCATGTTGGGTGAAGCAGAGGGCCAGTGAAGGTGTGGGGACCCCGTGAGATGGACTGGTACAAGAGCCACAATGACGGAGTGGAACATGCTGGCATTTCCTTCTGTTGTGCACACGGTCCCTGTGAGTCAGAGTCAATGCAACAGCAGCTGACAACATGGATGAGGTTGTGACGACCTTGCTCTTCAGCTGGAAAGTCACCTGGTGGCACAGGGCCCAGGCACACACAGTCCTCAAGGCCCAACAGACCTAAGTAGTAGGTGACATGCCTCTTACCCCACCATATCACTTCCCCTTGGGTCAAGGGTCTGCCAAGACCACATGCAGACTGACAACTTCCATGTGCCTTTGCTTTGGGTCTGGATGGTGTCAATCATTGGGCAGCTGAGATTCTTTTGTTACTAGCCATGAGTCCTGGATGGCCATTAAACATCTTTTTTTTTTTTTTTTTAAGAAAAAAGACTTGTTGTTGTCATTACGACCCGACTCACAGCGACCTGTCCTTGGATTTCCGAGGCAGTATCACTACGGAAGTAAATTTCACTGTCTTCCTTCAGAGGAGTGGCTGGTGGGTTTGAACCGGCACCCTTCTGGTTAGCAGTCAAGTGCCTTAGGCATTATGCTACCAGAGCTACTTCTTAATCAAAAAATAATCATTAAAAAAAAATCAAAGGAAGCAAATTCTTTCTAGACACGGGGTCCTTAAAGGTGGGGAACAATAAGCAAAAGCACCCTCAGGACTAAAGACAAGGGCTAGGGAACTAGAAAGCTGTAGAGGGGCTTTCTTTCTGACTGTGGCACTCGCGGTACACCAGGAAGGGGTGGACAAACGTCACCAGCGTGACAAGCACCAGCACCACATTCACCTGGAGGGGAGAGAGGAAGGGGTGAGCACAGAGTCTTACAACACCACGACTGAAGGAGGGAGTGGGTGGGCTCGTCTTCCACCAAAATTCTGCATCACACCGACATTTGACTTTCCACTCAGGCATCGCACCGCCCCCAAAGAAGGACTTTCTGTGGTCCGTTCTGCTCCGTGGGGTGAGCTACCAAAACCAAACAGTTACTGTCAAGTCAACTCTGAGTCATGGTGACTCATGTATGTCAGAGTGAACTGTGCCCCATAGGGTTTCCAATGGAAGTTGCACCATGTTAATTCTGTGGCTTCAGGTACCCCACGACCAAGCAGGGTCCTCTCACTGAGCCCTGTTGGAGAAGCAAGACCAAAGATGGAGCCTTTACGCAGAACTGTTCCTCTGGGGGCCATACCAAGCCAGCTCAGCCAAGTGTTTGGGTGCCCCCTGCTGGGGCTCCTCAGAGTCACCCAGTCAGGGTTCCTAGCAGGTCTACGTCAGGGCCCTCTGCTGGGAGAAGCAGGCCAGGGTGGCCGTGGCCACAGTACTCACATAGAACGGGTTATTCTGGAGGGGTCCTTTGATGAGGGTGAAGATGGGGAACTGGAGCAGAGACACAGTGGCCGACAAGGCCATCACGAGCCCATAGAGCTTCCCAAAGTGCTCAGAAGGGAAACTGAAGAGAGAGAACAACAGGGCTCCCCGTTGGCGAGCTTCAGGGGCCCTCCTGCTTGTTCCCCAGCTGCCCTGCCCTAGGCCTCCCATTCAGCCACCCCCACCCGCAGCCCTCCTTCCCCCGCCCCGCTCCTCTGCCTGTGCATTCAAACCAGAGAACACAGAGAAGGCACTGTGCTGGAACCTGGGGAAAAAGTAGGGACCCAGCCTGTGCCCCAGGGAGGCCCCAAAGAAAAGCAGACACACAAACAGATAACGACATGCCTGCCAATGTGTACATATCAAAAATGTGTACAGAGAAGGGAAGGGATTTTCTTTCCAGCTCTTCCCTAGGAGAGTTGGAACAGAAGTAACACAAGGGCTTTGGAGGGTGAATAGGAGTTTACCATACAGATAGCTCTGGTGGTGTAGTGGATAATGGACTTGACTGCTAACTAGAAGGTCAGTGGTTCAAACCCACCAGCTGCTCCACAGAAGGAAGACTGGGTGATCTATTTTAGTAAAGATTTACAGCCTTAGAAACCCAATGGGGGTTGCTATGGGTCAGAAACAACTCAGTGGCAGTCAGTAGGTTTTTTTGTCACATAGCGGGAGGCCGAGGGGACAACAGATACACAAGCTCGTATGAATGCTCTAACCCTCCCCTCCCACCAGCTTCTACCTGTATATCTACCACCAAAACCGTCTCCCTCACCTGACCGCCTCCAGGCCCACCCACTCTCCTGGTTTCTCCACCTCCGGCACACTCCCCTCCGCCCGTGTCTGCCACCACAGGACGCACCCCAAGCCCCACTCACGCAATGGTAAGGAAGGCTGCATTGCCCCCATAGAGGAAGGAGCGGCTGACCACCTGCAAGATGAAGGTGAAGTACTGGAGGGAGAGCACGGGAACTGAGGCACAGAAGGCAACGCCCAGACACAGCAGGGACGTCAGGGCCAGCGAGGGCACCGTTGAGCAGAGGTCCACCGTTGAGGCTGAGGAATCTGATCCTGAGGGAAGAGGAGAGGCTGCTGGAGGTGAGCACAGAGGAGGGCAGAAGGGAAGGAAGGGAAGGGGCAGGGAGGAGCCAGCACCCACTCACTCCTCTGTCCAAGCAGAAACCCGAGAGGCACCTTGAATCTCACTGGCTAGAAAGTAGGGACACTATGTAAAGCTAATGGGATTACATGCAAGTGGACAGAGAAGCCACATCGCTACAGGTCCCAGTGGCCAATGACGGGACAATCCGAGCACCAAGAAGAATCACAGCAGCAATGGATTAAAACACGTCAGATATATTAAAAATGAGACTTTAAAAAAGAAACAATGAGTAATCATCACTGGAGGTTGCTAGGTTATTAACTCCTCATTCTGAAAACTGGTAAAGAGAGGAAACTATCAGGCACTTCATTTGCTTTTTTTTGTTTGACCTGGATTTCAGGGTAACAAAATAGTGAACGAGGCAAAGGTTTTCTTTCTTGGGGAATTCCAGCTATTAAAGGCAGAAGGAACCATGGGGAAAAGAATTAACAATGCTGATAAAATAATGGGTCTAGGCATTGATCATCCATAGCTGTTAAAACATTAGCTCTGCAATTGATGGGAAACTTTGTAATGGATGGATCAGACTGACAACACTGCACCCAGTGATCAACTATAACAGCATAAGGACAGCAGAAACCAAGGGCCTGCTGGGGTACCACTGGAAGCCCCCAGCTTCGCTTCTGGATTATTCTTGCCCAAAACAACTGAACTGATCCTCCTTGAGCAGCTAACCTAACTGCCTGTTTACAGGAAACACTCAAAGGAAACTTTTAAAAGACACCAGAAGATGCCAGATCCTTTCCAAGAGGACAAGGATGCCAAATTCAACAGGACAAATAAATGGCCCAATTGTCCAAATCAACAAGAAAAAAAGAGGAGACATTTTGAGAGATTTAAAAAGACATAAAAGGTAAATGAACTACATACATCATGTTGATCGTGTATGGATCCAAACCTAAACAAACCAACTTATAAAATGATATATTTGAGATAAGAGGGGAAAGTGAATGGTGACTATTAGATGATATTAAGAAATTACTGGGTTGTTTTTTTTTTAGGGGTGATAACGATATATTGTTGTTGTTGTTAGCTGCCAGAAAGTTGGCCCCAACTCGTGGCAACCCCACACACAACCGATGAAACACGGAAGAAACATGGAGCTTCCAAGCTGAGAGGGAGTAGCAACAAAAACCTGGCAACTGACTTCTAAAAATGAGCGAATGAGAAAAGTTCCAGTGGGATGGCGGAATAGCCAGAAAGACCGCACAGACCCTCTACAACAAAGAAAATGGTTACCAATTAACACAGATACAGAAGATAATCCTGGAGCCCTGAGCTTTGAAGGGAAGGATATAGAAGTGGACTAAACTCCAACCAGTAGAAGAACTTGCATGAAAACACAAAAAAAGGAGACATGGAGGTGCAGTCTGTCAGCGATCCTGACGGCACAGACAGCTTGGATATTGCCAAGTGGTGTTAGGACCTAAGAATTAACCTAAAAATCAGCCCTGCTAGCGAGGGACTGCTCTGATGACTGGGAATAAAAAGGGAAGCAGTGAAGAGGAAGGCGGGCTGAGCTGTGGACTTTTGCCTGTCCAGAGGGCCCAGCCATTTTGAATGTTTACACGCAGTTCGACCATTTTGGATATTTAAAGCAACAATGTTCTCCCAGATTCCAGTGACTTAAGACTAGGGTCCACTTACCAGGGACCACAAGGACATTCTGGACTCCAATGATGGGAAAGGTGCAATATTCCCCTTGCTACTTTTTTAATGCATTTTATTGAAATATAATTTATGTATAGTGAAATACACAAAACTAAAGTGACATGGGTCTATGCTTTTTTTTTTTTTTTGCAGTGTTCCCTCCTCTCCCCTCCCACCCCTGGCAACCAACAAAGAAAGTTTCTCTCCATATATAAACCTTTCCTTGACCCTCCACAACAACGAACTAATACTATATTTGTCCTTCTGTGATTGACTTACTTCACTCAGCATAATGTCCTCCAAGTTTATCCATATTATGTGGTATTTTGCAGACTCTACATTATTCTTTAGTGCTGCATAGCACTCCATTATGTGTATGTACCATAGTTTGGTTGTCACTCTTCCACTATAAATCTTGGAGATGAGAACCTTGCCAGATATGTAATTATTGGCAAATATGAATTTGTTGCTGTCATTTTTGTTATGTACTTTTTCATAGTGTCGACTTCTTTGTTCCATATAATTTTCTATGCTGAGCTTGTTTTGTTTATGAATCGTGTTATCACTTCCTTCATTGCTATTGTTTTAGTATGTGCTGAATATGTATGCTGATCCTCTTAATTGATGTGAAGTTTATCATTTTTCTTTGAGGTTACCCTGTGATTTATAGTTTTCTTCCCAAGTGTAGAACAGTCCGTTCTATCTTGTAGTTGTCTTGACCTCCTACCATCTAGAAGTTCTGTTAACGACACAGTTTTTTCCCTTTTTGGTTTGTAGTTGTCCTCATTTGTCAATCGATGTCTCCAGTTCCCTGGGCCATTTATTTGTCCTTGTAAGCTTATTTACTTTAGATACTTCCATAGCTGAGTTGGTTTCTGGGTTATATCATCATTGTGTTAATGGTCAGTTGTTGTTGGCTGTTGTTGCTTCTCTGTCCAAAGGGCTCCCTTTAGCATCTCTTGTAAGGTTGGTTTGGTTTTAACAAATTCCCTTAATTTGTGCTTATCTGGAAATGTCCTAATTTTACCATCATATTTGAGGGACAATTTTGCTGGGTACATAATTCTTGGTTGGAAATTTTTCTCTCTCAGTGGTTTATTTATACCATCCCACTGTCTTCTCGCCTGCATGGTTTCTGTCGGGAAATCTGAGCTTAGTCTTATTGGTTGCCCCTTGTAGGTAACTTTTCATTTTTCCTGTGCTGTTTTCATGATTCTTTCTTTGTCTTTGGTTTTGGTAAGTCTGATGATAATATGTCTGGGTGATTTTCTTTTGGGGGTCTATTCTATTTGGGGTTCGTTGGACTTCCTGAATGGATATATTCTCATCTTTCATCATACCAGGAAAAATTATCTTCCAACAAATCTTTAACAATTTTCTCTGTGGTTTTACTTGTCTCTTCCTGTTCTGGAATTCCTATTACACATAGCTTATTCCTTTTGATGGTATCCTACATGAACCTTAGGCTTTCTTCATTTTGTTTTTATCTTTTTTCTGATTTATCCCTTTCCAAAGAAGTGTTCAGGTGTTTGCCTTCAATCTCCCTAATTCTATCTCCCATTGATTCAATTCTGCTCACCAAGAGGGTGTGAGGTAATTAAGAGGTATAAGAGCAACAAGGGAGCGACTTCCAGTAAGATGGAGGAATAGGCAGACAAGCGAAATGGACCCTCTTCAACAAAGAAAAGAAAACCAATGGACAGAGATACAGAAAATAATCCTAGAGCCCTGAGCTTTGAAAGAAAGGAACTATACAAAAGTGGTTTAGGCACCAACTAGCGGAAAAACCTGAACAAAAACAGTACAGATATGGAGCTGTGGACTGTCAGCTACTCTGACGGGACCAACAGCCTGAATATTTCCAGTGGTGTTGGGAGCTGAGAATTGACCTAAAGACCAGCCCTGGTCACCAAGGGCTGCAGGGATTGCTGCACTGGTGGTCTATGACTAGGAGGGGAAACAGCAAGGAGGGAGACAACCTGAGCTGTTGACTTTCCACTGTCCAGAGGATGCAGCCATTTTGATTGTTTACATACAGCAGCCATTTTAGATATTTAAAGTGACTGAGGGCGCAGCCATTTTGAACGTTTACAAGCAGCTGCCATGTTGGATATTTAAAGTGACCGAGGGCGCAGCCATTTTGAATGTTTACAAGCAGTGGCCATCTTGGATATTTAAAGTGATGGAGGGCACACCCATTTTGAATCTTTACAAGTGGCAACCATTTTGGATTTTAAAGTGATAGCATTCTCATTCGGATTCCAGGGACCTAACAATAGGCTTTGTTTGCCAAGGTTGGCAGGGACATATGAGAGGCTGACAACAGGAAAGGAGATAGGTGGTGAGTATGTAAATGCTGTCAGCTAGCGAATAGAGGAGCACAGTACTCTGCTTGCATAGATAACATACAAACAAAACAAAGAAAACGAAAATCATGGGCAAGTCACTCCAACATACAATCACCAATTAAATATAAACACAAAACCGTCACAATGCCTCGGAGACAACAGAGCATCACAGTCCACATGAAAAATCAAGATAAAGCAGGAGAAACAAGACCAGGATACAGACCCAAAACACATCCCTGAGGAATAAGCAGCATTGGAACTCTCTGATAAGGAATTCAAAAGAATTATATTTAGGTATCTTCAAAGGATTGAGAGACACACCAAGGAAAACACAGAGAAAACCCTAGAATGATTTCAAAAGACAATACAAGAACAAAATGACTAAATGAAAAATCAGAAATGATACAAAATCTACACACAGAAATCCAGAAGATTAATACTAAATTGTCAGAAACAGATAACACATTGGAAGGGCAAAGGAGTAGAACTGATGCAATGGAAGATAGAATTAATGAGATTGAAGACAAATACCTGAATATTTCTTTGGAAAGGGATCACTCGGGAAAAAAAATCAAAAGAAAATGAAGAAAGCCTAAGGTTCATGTGGGATATCATCAAAAGGAATAACCTACATGTAATTGGAATTCCAGAACAGGAAGAGAAAAAGAAAACCACTGAGAAAATTGTCTGAGATTTGTTGGAAGAGAACTTCCCTGAAATGATGAAAGATGAGACTATATCCATTCAGGAAGTCCAACGAACCCCAAACAGGATAGGTCCCAAAAGAAAATCACCAAGACACATCATCATCAAACTTATCAAAACCAAAGACAAAGAAAGAATCCTGAAAGCTGCATAGGAATAAAGAAGTTAATTACAAAGGACAACCAGTAAGAATAAGCTCTGTTTTCTCAGCATGCAGAAACCATGCAAGTGAGAAGGTGATGGGAAGGTATATATAAAACCCTGAAAGAGAAAAATTTTCAAACAAGAATTATATGTTGTTGTTGTTATGTGCCGTGGAGTCAGACCCAACTCATAGTGACCCCTCCTTGGGTTTCCGAGGTGGTATCACTAAGGAAGTAGATTGCTCAACCTTCCAAAATTGTCCCTCAAATAGGATGGTGAAATTAAGAAATTTCCAGATAAGCAGAAATTAAGGGAATTTGTTAAAACCAGACCAAGCTTACAAGAGATACTAAAGAGAGTCCTTTGAACAGAAAATCAATAATAGCAAACAACAACGAGCCATTAATACACAAGATGACATAACCCAAAAACCAACATAGCTATGGATGTATCCAAAGTAAAATAAGCTTACAAGATTGTAAACAGAGAACCAGAGACATCATTTGGCAAATGAGGACAATTACAAACCAAAAACAAGGAAAAATAGTGTAGGTACAGAATTTCTAAATGGTGAGGAAGTCAAGAGAGTTGCAAGACTATAGGGAGGAAGTGGAAGGGGAGCTATAGCATTGTGGTAAACTGTGGTCAATGACATGAGACAAAGTATATGTGAACTGCTGTATGGAAAGTGAATTTGCTCTGTAAATCTTCACCCAAATCACAATAATAAATAAATAAATATAGATTTTTTTTTTTAAAAAAAAGAGAGTTGCAAGATAGAATGGACTGTTCTAAACTCAGGGAGAAAATTATAAATCACAGGGTAACCTCAAAGAAAAATGATAAACCTTCACATCACAGTAAAAATGAGCCAATGAAAACCTCATGGATCACAACAGTCTGCTCTGTAGCCCATCAAGGGAGAGTACAAGACTGGGCACACTTCATTCCTTTGTGCATCAGGTTGCCATGAGCTGGGGGCCAACTGGCTGCTAGCTAACAACTCAACAACAACAACTAGTGGCTGAAGGAATGTAAGTTAGAACAGAAGAGAAGACGGGCACAGAGGTAAAGGAAGATCTGTTGCTGCTGGTCCCCGATCCTCTGGGGCCCAGGTCTCACCTGTCTTTCTCACTTTCTTCTGGTACTTCTGCTTGAGCCGGTCCATGAGCAGGCCGTTCCAGGGGGCACACAGCACTCCAAAAGACTGAGTGATGGCAAAAGCATTGGTGTAGGTGCTGACTGCAGGGGGCAGAGGGGTTTGGGGATGAAAAAGAACATCCAGAACTGCCCAATGAGAGGACTCTCCCACCTGCCATCCCTGCCTGCCCCTCCTCCCCACACACCCAGACCCTCCTCTAGAGCACACAGCTCTACTGGGCTCAGCACCCATCCCCTGTGCCCCCTGAGGTTCTATGTCCCCAGCTAGAGTGAGCACGTGGGCTGTCTCCCAGCCCCACCACATACCAAGCACCCTGTCCCCAGTGGCCAGGTTGGTCAACAAGGAGTTGAGCGTGCCAATGAAGAGGTAGTGCCACAACTGTATCACTGACAGCCACACCAGGTGCCAGGCAAAGCAGCGAGAGAAAACGTAGCTCCAGAAGGAGAGGGGCTCCTGTTGCTGCCCTGGCCTGGGGTCCTCTGATGGCAAAAGGAGGGTCCAGCATGCAGCACAAGGAAAGTGGAGGTGTGGGGTAGGCTAGAGAGTACAGGCTTTAATGGGACAGCCTGAGGTCCAAGGCCATCTTCTGTTGCTTACCAGAACGCACCAGCATGCACTCCAAGCTGTCCCCAACTCATGCACTCCTCCATGCCTTTGTCATCCTGGCCCAGCCACCTTGCAAGACCCCATCCCACACTCTTCCCTGTGTACTGAAATTGGGTCTTTCACAACCTAGATTCAGTGATACTTCTTCCACTAAGAGTTCCCTGATCATTCTCAGCCAGAATGGGGAAAGGAAAGACAAGGAGAGGAGAAAGCCAGAACAAGAGGTGAGTGTGTGATAGACATGTTGTTTTGACCCACTCCATAGGGCTTCCCTTTCTTTTGGTGCCAACATCCTGAGTTTCCCCTGGGAATCTCCTCCTGGTCCTGCCCTACTCTACCTGCTTCAGATGAGCCCATGTTTTAAGTGTTCAGCCCCTCACGCTGGGGAGAAGCCAGAGGACCCATTGCTGGCCAATCTGATGGTTCTCCCTAGAGAGGCAGACTGGCCATGACTTTAGGCTTGGATCCCAAGGGTATTCTGGTTCTACTTGGCAGGTTAGTTTCCCCCTTGATTTTGTGAGCTTTTCAGACCCTTTTCTTATTTATACTTTAATTAGTCAGTCACGCTTAGTGATGTTGTAACCAAAGACCCAAAACAAATGGAGGAGGCAAAGGGAACAGCAAGGGAGATGGAACCATGACATAGGAAGACCCATAAGACCTGCAGGAATAGGACAAATGAGCCAGACTTGGACACAGGGGAGGCGAAGCTGTGGAGGAGGGTAAGGGGAGGCAAACAGCGGGAAGCAGACTTCAGGGGGCCAGGATGAGATGAGGAAGACAGAAGAGAGGAACAGGAAAGAGAGCAGAGGGAGGAGAGAAGAGGGTGCCTGGGAGCTCAGTTCCAGTGCCCGTTCTGCTCTTGACTGCCTGAGTCTAGGCAAGCGCTGCCCCTTGCTGGGCCCTCTATAAAATGAAGAGGCTGATAAGAGGACCCTGAATTCCTTTCTCTGCCTGACCGCTCCTGACTCTGAGTCCCTGGTCGTCGCAGGAAAGCCAGGCTGTGAAAGGGAGATGGGCTGACGGGCTGGCTCACCATGCTCTGATGACAGGATCTCCCTGGACTGCTGCTCTGTCTTTTCAAGCTCAGCCATTTTCTTCTCCTCTGTGGAGCCATTCCCAGAGCACAGGCTATGGAGACAGAGCTCCATCAGCCTGGCCCCAGGACTGTGAACTAAGCCTAAGACCTAAGATGCAGGCCAGAGGAAAGAGGGCTGTTGCTGGTGTTATGTGCCGTTGAGTCAGACCCGACTCACAGCGACCCCTCCTTGGGTTTCTGAGGCAGTATCAGTACAGAAGTAGGCAGTGAAGCCCAGATTGACTGCCTAAGTGAAATACCTAGGGAGCTTCTCTCTCTCTCCCTCCCTCCCTCCCTGCCTCTTTCTCCCTCTCTCCCTGTCTCTCTCCTTCTCTCTCTCTCTTTCTATAGATATACATATATACATACATATATACACATACAAAACCAAACCAAACTCATTGCCATCAAGTAGATTCGACTCACAGCAACCCCCCCTTGGGTTTCCAAGGAGGTACCTCTATGGAAGTAGATTGCCCAGTCTTCTCCCTTTTGGTTAGCAGTCAAATGCCTTGGGCATTATGCCACCAGAGCTCCCATATGTACACACATACACACACACACATATCTATATATACACATCTGTCTCTCTCTGTCTGTCTGTGTGCCTCTCTCTCCCTCCCTCTCTCTCTCTCTATTGTGTGTGTTGTTTGCAGCCCAGGCCAATTAAATCAGGAGCTCTAGGGGTGGGAGCCAGGCCTGCACCTTTTTTAAAGACCTCCAGTGAGGCATTGGTGGCTGAATCCTCACCTATCACACAGGAGACCCATGTTCGATTCCTGGCCAACGCACCTCCTGCACAGCCACCATGGATCAGTGGAGGCTTACATGTTGCTCAGATGCTAAACAGGTTTCAGTGGAGCTTCTGGACCAGGAAGATAGGCCTGGTGACCTGCTTCTGAAAACCAGCCAGGGAAACGGTACGGATCACAACGGTCCAAGCCACAACCCACCACGGGGATGGCTCAGGGCCAGGCAACGCCTGGTTCCATCGTGCACGGCATTGCCACGAATCAGGGCCAACTCAACGGCAGTGACCCACAATAAAAGATCCCCAAGTGACTCAATTTGCAGCCAAGTTTGGGAACCACTGCAAGAGGGAGCTCTGGTAGCATAATGGCTAAGACACTTGCCTGCTAACCAGACGGCTGGCGGTTCAAACCCACCAGCCACTCCTCGGAAGGAAGGTTGGGCAATCCTACTTCCGTAGTGATACTGCCTCGGAAACCCAAGGAGGGGTCGCTATGAGTCGGGTTTGACTCGACGGCACATAACAACAACAACAACAGCAAGAGCCAGAAGAATAGAAAAGGCCTGGGTTCAAATCCCAGCCTGGCCTCTTCCCAGCTTTGGGAATGTGGTTCAGACTTAGCTCCTCGGGGTGTCCATTCTCCTCATCTGGAAAGTGGAAATGCGGATCTACCGAGGGCATGACCGTGAGGCTGAGTCCCAGAGCACACGGGGCCTGGCCACCAGCGGCTGAGCAGTCCTCCACTGCTGGAGATCATTAACTGCAACAGCGGCCACAGCTCTTCGCCGCCTCCTGATCGCTACTCTCTGCGAAGGGACTCTGCACTTCTTCCCATCAAAAGAGAAAGAAAGACTATTTCCCCACGTGCTGAACTCTGAACTCGGGTGGGGCTCATGAACTTCTTCACACAAAGGAATGCAGCAGAAGTCACGCTGTACCAACTCCGAGCCAAGGCCTCAGGAAGCCTCGCATAGTTCGGCACACCTTCTTGGGACCCTATAGCCAAGAGGTGAAGGAATCCAAGCTAGCCTGCTGGAGGGAATAGTGCCTGTCACCCCAACAGCCAGACCAGCCACGTGTGAGTGAGGCCACCCTACAGCAGCCCCAGCTGACCCGCCAGATGACCACGGCCGCATGGTCAAGCCCTGCTGAGATTATTCATATCTGACCCTGACCAGCATACCTACCCAGCTACCCAAAGGCTTGTAACACAAAAACCACCTGGTTTCCCTTGAGCTGATTCTGACTCGTGGCTGCAGAAAAGAACCACACTCCACAGGGTTTGCAAGGCTGTGATTTACTGGAAGCAGATCACCAGGCCTGTCCTCCAAGGGGCTTCTGAGTATGTTCAAACCGCCAATCTTTTGGTTCAGAGTCAAGTGCTTAACTGTTTATGCTACCCAGGCACTCCTCATAAAAAACACTAAACACTTAATCTCTTCAGCCACTGAAGTTTGGGCAGTGTGTTATGCAGCAATGGCTAACTGATACACCCCTGCTCTAGGCCTCCTCTCCTGTGACAGAGTTGCTCTGCCCTATATGACCACGTCTGGCCCAACCCTGCTTCCTGCCTCAGGTCAGATGTGGAATCTTTGCCCATGTTCACCAGGTCACAGTCCTTACCCATAGCGGTAGCTGGGGGGCAGAGGGTAGGGGATGTGCCCCCGAGGCATCAGGAGGAAAGTACGTCCAATGTGCCAAGCACTGCATACAGACAGGAAGAGGAAGGAGGCCCTGAGGCTGATGCCCTGCTCATACAGGAGCTGCAGAAAAAGGAGGGAAATGTCAGTGTGTGGGGCAGGGGCTGGAACTCCAGCTCCCAAGAAAGAGCCTCAGTGCAAGATCTCATCCACCATGCTGGAAGCTGATTAAGGATGCCTATACACACATACAGGAGCTCTGGTAGCGTAGTGCCTAAGGCACTTGACTGCTAACCAGAAGGCTGGTGGTTCAAACTCACCAGCCACTCCTTGGAAGGAAGGTTGGGCAATGTACTTCCATAGAGATACCACCTCGGAAACCCAAGGAGGGGTCGCTATGAGTCGGGTCCTACTCGATGGCATATAACAACAACAACAATACACACATACACTCACCAGGGCCCAGCTAGCCGCAGGGCAGACAGCTCAGCACCCACCCCATAGCCTATGCAGCTCCTAGCGTGGCTCCTCATATACGTGCTAGCCCAGTGTCTTTTCTTCAATAGCAGCGAAGTCTTTTGTCCAAATAAAATCTTACACAAAAAATCCAACTTACAAAACAGATCAATGGAGCTCCCCAGTCACCTTCCCTCATTCCCCCTGGAGACCCACAGAACATCTAAGAGAAGCCCCAAGCGTTCCTCAGAGCTCTGTGTGAAAACCGCTGATTAACCCAGCCTCGCCGTTTTACAGAAGATGAAACTGAGATCTAGAGAGACACTACGAGCTGCACAAGGTCAGAGCAAGCAGCAGCAGGGCCAGATCAAACTACGAACTCTGGGTCCCGCTCCAGTCCCTGCTCCCTTGATCTCCACAATGAGAGGGGAGAAGTGGAGGCATACTCTAGGAAGGAGACGGAAACGAAGGTGGTTCTTGTACCAGGGGTAGAAAGCTTGAGGTAAGCATCCAAGAGGCTCAATGTCTGGGTATCACCAAGCCAGGGTGTTCATGGGACTAAACTAGACTGATGTCTGGGTACTGACTCCCAGAACGCCTCTTCTCTTCCCCATG